GGGGGTGGGGGGTGGGGGGGCGGCGCTAGGGAGGCTGATTATCTGAGATTACTTCGCGAGGTGATTAGGACTCAAGGATCCTCCAGCTGAAACACCTCACCGACCTCATGCAGGTGGGAGGGATTCAGGACTGAAGAACAGTTCCCAGGAAGGGACTCTAATCCCCTAAAGCAACTAAGGACCCAAGAAGGGGTTAACTTTGAGCCCTACAGTGACTTCAATCATTGGCTCAGAGCACTGTCAGTCAGAGTTCTGGGGGCGGGGCTTTCGGGGCTGCCTTCGGACTGCCCAGGGCCCCTCACTTGCCCCTCGACCCCCACATCATTTTACTTCTGGGCTGCGCCCGCACCCCCATCTTGGTGGAGACACCTGCCTGGGCCTGGAGGAGGAGCGGATCCGGGCATCCTGGCTTCCCCACTCACTCCAGCTGCCTGGCTTCCTGATAGATGGTGATTATTATATAATAGATCTGCTGGACAGAACCCTGCCAGCGCTCGGAACACTTTGCCCCCTCCTCGAAGCGTGCCCCAAAAGACCTGGCACCAGCCGCCCAGAGTCCGCTGTCCAGCTCTGCCGGCGCCCCCAGCACCACCCCCATCCCGGGGCGGGAGACCCCTGGGCCACCTTCACCGGTGGACCCGGGGCCACGTCTTGGGATGGGGCGGGCGCCAGGCTGGGGAGTCGGGCGGGCGCCCAGCAGGTCTCAGTGTCGGCTTGCGGAGTTTGGCTTTACCAGCGCCTCGCCAGGAATATGGGACCCACCTGGCCCCTCCAACCTGAACTTGGAACTTGGGAACCAATAGAGGTGGGGATAGGGGGCGCAGGGGCCAGGATCGGAAAGGGAAAGAAGTTTGGGAAAGGTGCGGGGGCAGGAAAAAGGAGGCTGGGAGAGGGGGCCGGCGGGGGCAGTGGGGGGAGGGACTCTTATCCTGACAGGGCTCCCGCCTTCCCCGACTGGAGGGTTTGGAAAAACTGAGCAGGCAGCCAAGGCTTGGCTGGAAATCCTGCAGCCCACCCTCCTGGGGACACAAAGCTGGAGGGCGGAGGCAGGGCGGGGGAAGAGAGCACGACCCCGGGGAGGGCAGGGCCTCTTTTGGGTCTGGGGGCCCAGGGGCCAGGTCCCTGGGGAGGGGGTTCCTGGCGCTGTCTCCCTGCAGTCTGCTTCCCCCTTCTTCTCTTTCCCCCCCTCCTCTCCCCCCTCCTCCCCCTCCCCGGCTCCAGTCTTGCAGATTGCGGGCAGACTTAACTCCTTGCGCGCCAGCCTGGTGGACTCCGAGGTGGTGACGCTGGGAGGGAGGGAAGGAGGGAGGGACTCCGGACCCCACTCCCACCACTGTTTAACACCTTGTGGCCCGGACTGCAATCTCGGGATTTGGGCTGGTCAGAGCCTTGGAGGGCTGGCTGCCTCGTACTCGAGGAGAGACGCACAAAACCCGGCACCTGAGAGCGGCGTGGTCCGGCCCATTCTGCTGCCAAATCTTAATTGTCTACGCTCCCGCCACCCCAGTCCTGTGTGTCTCTCCCTCCACTCTTTGGCCACCCTCCCCCCACCACTAGTCGTTACAAAGGTCCCTGCCAGACGGAAGGCTGCGGAGAACCCGGAAGTCTGGCTTCTGCGGCTGCCCCAGCATTCTCTGAGTCCCCCGTGAGGCCCAGCGCAGGTGACCACAACCCTTGCCTCTTTTGCCTCCAGGGGGCTCCTTCACCTTTCTGCGGAGGTGGCTCCCCACCTGAGGCAGGGAACGCTAGCCTCCGCCAGCTCCGGCTAGGTCAGGGGCCCGAGTAGCTGGAAACCCTGATTTCGCCTCCACCCTGGCCCCTTTCTTGGGCAACACCCCCTCCACCATCAGATTTGCCTTCCAGTTCTCTGAATGACTGCCTGAGGGAAGTAACCCAGGCTGGGCAGGAAGGGGTTAACGGGGCTACCCGACACCGTGGAGAGCCAGGTGAGGCACCGCCCATCCTGGCCTGGGGGGGGTGGGGGGTGTTTGTGGGGTGTGTGTGTGTTGTGGGGGGAGGTGGAGGGACACTGACCTAAGGGCTGCTTTTTTTTTTTTGCCCCCTGGTGGCTAGATCTGGCGTAGCGGCGCCAGCTATGCTCAGGTGGGGATGGGTGGAAAAAGGACTTTGGAGACAGAGTACTCCTCCGGAAGGAACAGCACTTCCGGAGGTAAAGAGAATCCTCTGGGAAGGAGAGAATCCTTCCTCGTGGAAGGAGGGAGCTCCCACAATGCCTGCCCTGTTACCCCCACTCAGCAGGCTGCCTCAGCCACTTCCAGATCTTTGCCTGAGGGGACTCTACTTGTGGGGCCCAGGTACCCAGGGGGGCTGGGGTAGGGGGGAGAAAGACCTAGCCCTGTCCTCCCAGGGTCTCAGCCTAACAGAGGGGGTCAATTGAAGGAAGCTGCTCCTCACCTTCTTTTTCTTTCTGTGCCCCCAGCCTTCCCAGAAGGCCCATTCCCTCCAGACCCCAACATCAAATTCAAACCTGTAGCCAGGCTTCAGAGCTCCCACCAGCTACCCTGCTGCACTTCAGCTTTCCCTCCCTCCAGCCAAGCTGCCCTCTGGTTTCTCCTCATAAAAGAACCCCTCTTGAGGGATTCTAGGTGCTCACAACCACTTCCCTTTCTCCCGCTCAGGGCTGAGACCCTTCTTCCCCTCCACCCGGAAGCCCTCCCAGGTTATTGAAGGCCATGCTCTTGCAGGCTTCCTTCCTTCCTTCTTTGTTTTTCCTTTCAGTGGGCTTACTTCCCTCCCTCTCACCATTTCCCATTAGACTTCCTTTGAGTGTGGGCGGTTCACCCAAACAGGGACAATTCTGTCCTCCTTTCAGGCTGTGACACCTGCCTCAACATTTGCCTTTTCCTCCTGGAATCCTCCTCTGACCAACCCCATCTACTTATTCATTCAAAAACTATTTTTGAGAACCTACTATGCGCCGGGCACTGGACAAAACAGTAGGTATATGTCGGTGAACAAGACAGATGTGGTCCTTGCCCTCAGAGCCTGCAGTCTAGGTGGGGACAGACAAGCGAACAAAGTGATTTCAAGTCAGTGTCATGAAGCCTTGGGGAGCACTTCAGAGAGACCCCTATTCTGGACTTGGGAGTCTGGAAAGTTTCCTGCAAACCCCGGGAGCAACATCTGGGCTGAGACTTATGCCCGCCTAAGGTGTGACTGTCCAGGCAGATAGTACATCTCCCTGGAGCCCTAAAGATAGACCAGGATCCCAGCAAGGGACCTCACCAGATGTTACAAGGGAGGAGGGAGGGATCTTTAAGCCTGCTTTCCCAAACAACCCATTTCTTTTCTTTTTGTTTTTTAAAGATTTTGTTTTTTAAGTAATCTCTACACCCAACATGGGGCTCAAACCCACAACCCCGAAATCAAGAGTCACATGCTCTGCTGACTGAGCCAGCCAGGTACGCCCCTGCCCCCAAACAATCCATTTCTAATAAATTCCCCAAGCCCCAAAAGAAAGAAGACTGACCTGAGAGTCAAGAGTATGTGACCCTGGCCTAGTCACAGGTGACCCTGGCCTAGTCACACCCTGTCTCGGGGCCCTTAGTTTTTTCAAATGTAAACCAAAAGGGTTGGATGAGTTTTTCTTCAGGCTCTTTATCCGAAAGATAACAATTAAAGAGCAGGCTCGGTTAGTTGAGAGAGAAACACTCACCTCTGTGGTGGGCTTGGGGAGGGGAGAGTGGCATTCAGAAGCCCGGGAGAGGCTACCAGAGGCAGGGGCCCAGAGAAAGCCACATGTCACCTCCTACCCCTCACTGTGCGCATTGCCTGGCAGTTCTGAGTCCTGGGAACATTTTAATTTCTGCCATCAACTGGCCACAAGAGCCTTTCTGAGATTGTCCTGGGAGGGGAGAGCATGGGGACAAGCACTCACAGGATACACTTAGTTACTGCACTAATTTGCTCTAATACGGAACACTAGAGAGCTTTTGTTTTTAAGAGAATATTCACAGGTCGGGGCGCCTGGGTGGCTCCGTCGGTTAAGCCTCCCACTCTTGGTTTCTGGCTCAGGTCATGATCTCGGGGTCCTGAGATTGAGCCCCGTGTCAGCTCCCTGCTCAGTGCAGAGTCTGCTTAAGACTCTCTCTCCCTCTCCCTCTGCCCCTCCTCCCCCCCCCAAAAAAAAAGACTGTTCACAGGTGAGGAAACTGAGGCCCAGTGTGGTGATAAGATGGTGGCTGGTGAGTGATGGCTGGCAGTGGTGCCCAGGCCTCCTGATTCCCAGTCCAGAACCTTCCCACCACACCACTGCAGTGCTCGCTTCCAACTTTCCATTGGACTTCTTCCTGTGTCTGGCTCATTTCCCTGTGAGGCCACGAGATCTGGGAAGGCAGGCTTGGCCTCCTTATCTGGACATCCCGCAGAGCCTGGTGCAGGGCTCTGAACACAGGGAGGGCTGCTCAGCTGCCCCAGGCCCGTAGGCCGCCCTCTTCTCTCTCATCAGGACTCTCTTTATATGCAGGTAGCTCTCTGGCCCAGTGGAAAAATGGCATCCCTGGATTGTGGACAAATCCCCGAGACCGGCGTAGTCCCAGTCCCAGCCAGGCCTCAAACCTGCTCTGTGACTTCGAGCAAGCTGATGGACCTTCCTGGGGCTCATGTTCCCCATCTGTCAAGACCCATAACCAATTCTAACGGCTAGGGCATTTGGAACTTGAAGTCCCAGATTAGGAGATGGTTTTACAAGACATACCTCTGAGGTGAGAGAAGAAGCCTAACGTTCCAATCTTTTTGGCAGAATCTCATGGCCTCGGGACCACATCTGCTTCATCTGCTGGGACTGGGGTCCTGCCTCATGGGGTGCCTACACCCTGGCATTATGCTGGATCCCGCGGAAGTTGCAGGATATGAAACCTGAATATATTCTGGGATCCCGTGACCCAAATAATTTCCCACCACCAAAAATCATTTCAAAAAGGAATCCCAACGTTTAGTTGTATCTCCTGATGATCCAATTTGTAACCTGCGGCACCACTTGTTAAAATTCCCTTTCCTCTTCTATTCCGCACACCTTGTAGCGGCTGACTCACTCTCCACCCGGCTCTGTCCTCTGTAGTCCACACAGCTCTCATCCCCTTATCATATGGACTGGCCTAGCCTGTCAGGCTTCATTATTTTCCTTTTCCTTTCACCCGTTACCCAGATTCTCCTTAACACACCAGAAAGCTGCCTGGCTCCTGCCTCTTGTCTCTCACCTGCTATTCTCCCAGTTTTGTATCACAAAAGCTCTGGAACTGAGCAAGCCAAGACAAGATTTCCAACAACAGGTGAAGGATAAAATTATCTTGGGGGTGAGGGGAGGGGAGACAGAGGGAGGCTGAGAAGATGAATCAGTGATGAATAAGTTTTGATCCTGTAACAGATACGACAGGCACCTGCCCTCAAGGAGCTCATAAGGTAAAAAAAAAAAAAAAAAAAATTAAAAAAAAAAGGAGCTCATAAGGTGGCGACAGTTAAAACACAATAAAAGATGCTAAATAATGAAAAGATGTGGACTTGATGTAATCAGTGCAGGTTGAATCCTCAGGGAGCCCTGTGGAGAAAGAGGAGACTGACCTCAGGTTCAGGGGAGCACGAGGGTTTGATGAGGGGCACAGAAAGAACAAAAGCAGGAGGAATCACAAATCTTGGTGGGAAGGGGCCTCAACGAAGACCAGCTACCTGTTTCAGGATCTTTCTGCCGCAACCCCCACCCCCCCCACCGTCAACACCCCGGCAAGCAGTGTGTCACCATCTTTTTGAACACCTTCAGGAGTGGGGAGCTTACCAAACCCCCAAGGCAGCCCGTTCCATTTATGAACATTTGTGGGGGTGTTTTAATTAAAGTTTTATTTAACCTAAGTTCTAGGCCCACCAGGGGGCTTGAACTCATGACCCTGAGACCAAGAGTCACATGTTCTACTGACTCAGCCAGCCAGGTACCCCAGTGAATGAACATTTGTTTTTCCTTCCTTTGATCTGACCTCTGTCTCCCAGTGGTCTCCACTTGTTAGTCCACACACTACCTCCTGGGGTCACACGATGTGAGTCTAATTCTTCCTCCCCATGATAGCCCTTCACATATTTGAGCTTTAATGACTCCTGGCTCTTCTCCTCCTCTCCAGCCTAAACATTCCCAGTTCACTAAACAGTCACTGCCGTCACAACACCTGGCCAACTCAGAGTAAAGCAGGACTATCAATCCCCTTCTTTATTCCAAGTACTATATCTCTATTAATATGGCCTAAAATTGAATTTACTTTTGGCAACCATATTATGCTGATGACTTGGACTGAACTTACTAACCTCCTTAATTCTGTGGTTCTGTTTCACCTGAATTGTTTCTTTCTTTCTTTCTTTCTTTTTTTTTTTCACCTGAACTGCTTCTAAGCCATGTCTGGTCCCTTATACATTGCTGAGGTCTTACGTAGACTGCTGATCATTTCATCTTGTTACGTTGGCCTGACATTCTATGCATGGAGATGATTTTGGGATCCTTATCTTGTCCTTCAAAGTGTTTACTATCTCTCCAGGCTTATATGTGTGGAATGGGATACTGTATTTTCATATAAGATAATAAAAAAAAAGTATTTAACAGGACAGAGATGAAGACAAAACCCTAAAACACACAAATGTTCTCTGGGTTGATACCGATCCGTGTCACACTGAGAAGCAAGAAGATACATGGTTTTGTAGGTGGGATGGTGTCACATCATCATGAGCCTCAAAAGCCTAAAGGAAGAATAAGAAAACTCAGAAGGTTTTTGAGTACAAGAGTCTTATGGAAGCATCTTGATACAGCGAAAAATAAAACAGAACACTAACTTTGGAACTTTACAGATCTGATTTTTTGAGTCCTAGCTCTGTTGCTTTCTAGTTGTAGAACTTTGAGCAAATTACTTTAACCACTTAGGACATCGTTTCTCCTGTAGAATGGGATAATACCTACTCTATAGATTATTGTGGCAATTAAATGAGATGATATATATGAAAAACATCATACCTAATAGGCTCTCAAAAAATTAAGAAGAAAAAGCAGGAGAAAGAAGGAGGAGAGAAAAAAGTTGTGTTTAGGACAGGTTTGGTTTCTGAGGGGAGACTACATTTATGATAGACCCAAGCAAAAAGTCCAAGTGTGAAGTGAGCCTCTAGTGAGGCCCAGATTGACTTGCTGGATGCTTGGTCCCAGGCAACATCTACAAAATGATAGAGGGCTAGAAGCAGATGTGGACAATATTTCAAAAGGAGAATTGATTCACCTTGGATGATGTGGAAAATGACAGAGAAAGGAGACATGGGCAGCAACAGGGAAGTACACAGAGGGGTGATGGATTAGGGAAGAAGGGTTCATATTTATTTATTTTTTTTAAAAGATTTTATTTATTTATTTGAGAGAGAGAGAATGAGAGAGAGAGAGCACATGGGAGGGGGGAGGGTCAGAGGGAGAAGCAGGCTCCTTGCTGATCAGGGAGCCCGATGCGGGACTCGATCCCGGGACTCCGGGATCATGACCTGAGCCGAAGGCAGTCGC